CAGGTGGGAAGGGAGGGAGCAGCACCGGGACGCAGCCCGGCCAAGCGCTGCAGCCCCCTTCGCAGGAAGGCTCCCGGGGGTCCGTGCCACATGGCCGGGGCAGGATCCAGCAGCGATTTGTCCCTTCCAGCTACGCAATCCCGCTCTCCACCCCAGCGGGGTAGGGCCCGACGCGAGGCCGCGGCGAGCCCCTTACCGTCCCGCAGGCAGCCTATCCTGTACATCATGGGCATCTTGATCACGAAGGCGAAGAGGTCGTCGATGAAGGTGTTGAGGGCTTTGTAGGTCAGCATCCGCCAGGGCAGGTGGGCCACCGACTTCAGCTTGTAGTTGATGAACAGCTGCGGGGTCATGGTGATGAAACCTGCAGGACAGCGGAGGGGTGGACCGCTTCGTTAACCAGCGCTTAACGCTGCCAAACGAAGCCCTCCGGGTGAACGCGTTCGGTTCAAAGGCTTCCTTGGTTTGCGGGGTGGCCAGGATTTGGAAACGCAACCGGGTGAGCCCGTTTTCCCTCCTGCCATCCGTGGGAACGGATCTCAGCCCGATAGCTTACCACTAACTCCTTCCCACACCCAGTTCCTCCACCCCGCTAAAGCTGGGCGAGTGTTTGGCGCTTGAAACGCGCTTTTGCACAGCCAGCAATGGCTGGGTTTGAGGAACTGAAATATTTGTCGGTTTTGGTTCAGTTTTCCAGCCCAGTGAAGATCAAAAACAGAAAACCAAAGAGAAAACACCGTAGTCAAAACCCTGCATAAAAGCACAACTGAGACAATGACTGGATGCTGTTCCAGAAAGCAACGTTTCTGCGAGCCGCTCCCAAGTCAGCTGTTAACACACAGAGTCAGACTAAATTATTGAAGCTACTTTTTCCTACACGCTGCTTTAGGGTAAAAGCTGGTGAATTAAGTCACAGTTGCAGCTCAAACGCTTCTATGAAGCGGCAGGCAGGACAGACAGAGGGGAAACGCGGTCCCACGAGGGCAGACGCTGCTGGGGGACAGCCTGAGAAGAGTTGGTGCCGCAGCGTTCCCACCTTGGGGGGTGGGGTGGGGTCAGGAGGCAGAAGCGAGGAGAAACGGCCACGGCAGACAGTCCCGAGGCGCTCGCGAGCATGGCTGACCCATTTGGCATCCCTTCCAGCTGACCCACGCAGAGAGAAGCCAAGCCTGCAGGGTACGACCTGGCACGCAGCCTCCCTCACCCCAAATCAGAAGCGTTTTGGGGCAGCTCTGTGGCTACTCACGGCAGCCCCGAACACGGCTTCTCTGTGCTGCTCAGGGCACTGAGGAACAGCCCAAGGAGCCCAGCGCCGCTCGACACTCACCAAACGTCAGGAGGAAGCCGTAGAGCATGCTCAGCACCCACGAGTACCAGCCCTTGTGCTCCAGGTATAACAGACTGTACACGGCGTAACCGAAGGGAAAGAGAATCCACGAGAGGTACCGGAAAGCCATCTGGGGAGGCAACAATATCTGAGGTGAGCTGGGAAGAGGGCAGGATCCAGAGGCAGCACCTTGGCCTCATGCTTTCCTCTCTCCTGGCTCAACATCCCTTCCCAAAGATATCAGAGGCCTTGGACCCCTCGGTCAGGCTAGGCAACACCGTGAGCCTGCTTCTCCGACAACCTGCCCCGTCAGGAGTGCGTCCCAGGGCTTTTATGGAAGATGAGGCTAAAAAGACTTCCCAGGATGTTCTCTCTCACGCAGACAAGCCGGCAACAGGCTCCGCGTTGCCCCCACCCTCGCCTCCCGGAGGGCCCCGCTACTCACATCGTCGTACACCTTGGTAGAAGACTCAATGTACGTGGATTTGTCTTTGAAAGTCAGGCGTGGAAACACTCCTGCGACCTTGTTCTCTCGGTCCAGCTGCTCATCGGCCAAAGCAAAAGTGTGGGGGGGGAAGATTACCAAACAGCGCTCTGCCATGCCCAAGCGGGATCAACCGCGACGCAGCGTGATTCTGTGCACCGTAGAGCAGCACCCCCCAGAGATCCAGTAGCACAGAGCGATCTGGGAACACTACCGACACCCAGAGTGCCCAAGCCACTGCTTACCCTGACGTCCATGACCTTTGTGATCTTCCAGAGGTCAATGAGGAGCCCGATGAAGACGCTGACTTGCACTACGAAGTTCGTTTCGTTGTCCAAGATGTAGAGGAGAACGACGAGTGACTGGAAGACGCCAAAGAAGACAGAGCGGACGGAGAGACCCTCCAGGGACTGCCGGCTGTTCCAGAACTGGATGTCTGCGAGCAAGGAATCAAAGCCAGGTCAAAGCTACTGTTCCCATTCAGGGAAAACAACTGCCTCTCTCCACCCAGAGGAGCTGCACTGGGTCCTACTGGGAAGCCAGTTCATCCCTACAGTGCATACAGAGCCCAGTACGGCGCTGTGGGCTCTTTGGGAGGCTCCGGAGACCAGCCTTTCTCCTCCTTCCCCAAGATGGCAGAGGGAGCAAGAGGAACTTGCCGACACACAGGAAAAGCGAGCAGGGCATTGCCCAGAGACGAGCAGACACCGCAAAGCACAGTCTGAGTGGCCAAACCGGCAACGGGGGCCCAGAAAAACACACATTTCTGGCTTTAAGCCCACAAGTCAGCCCTGTGGCACTCAGCAACGCAGCAGAGGAGCAACAGATGTCTCCGAGCATGCGACAGCAGCCACAGCCTGCCCAGGACACAGCTAGGTTTAGCCATGGCTACTGAAGATGCCACAACCCCAGCTGGGGCTCTCTCCCCTCGCAAACAAGGAAGAGGAGGGTTCCCAGCAGCTCACACCACCTCCGGCAGCGTGTTGTGCTCGGCTGGCCGAGATCATGCCGTAGCAGAGGCCACCTGCTCTGTCACTGCCACGGGGACAATACCAGGTGGCCCAGGAGAGGGGGGAGCAGGGATCCCATCAGCCCAAGGTCCCTCCACAGGGACTCACCGTTTTTGAAGGCCAAGAACTCAAATATGCTGTGAACGATGGAAACGATGATGGTCAGAGCCAGCAGGTACGGGTTTGTCTCCAGGAGGGCAACCTGGAACAGGCAACAAGAACCTCGCTGAGGCTCTGTCCCATCCTCCTGCTGCTCCCAACTGCCTGCCACACCAGGGCAAACAAGCCAAGGAGGCCCAGAAAAGGATCTGGGAGAAGACGTTGATGCTTTAAGGATTTTCTCCAACACAGAAACTGGCCACGTCACCATCCCATTGCTGCATATCGCCTGCACAGCCCAGGCGCCTGGGGCACCGTGGCAGCACATGCCATGAAACAAGGAATGGGTGACTGGGGCGATGCTTCCCTGCCTCCACCTCCCCTCGGCTTTGTTCCCAAAGAGGCTGGGAAAAGCTGAGGACCGCCATTCGGAAGTCGGTTTGAGCTGGGGGTTTGGGTCCCTCTAGGAGCGCTTTGAGAGGAGACAAGAGCTCGTATCACAAAGCAAACAAACAAGGAGTCATCACAACGAAGAACTAGAATTAACACTTCCAGAAAGCTATGGAGAGGGGGAAGGAGTCGCTATGGAAGAGTATCCGAGCCTGATCCCAGTCTATAAGAGCGAGCAGGAGGGCTGTTTCAGGGAGAAGAGACACGCGCAAGCAGCTCTTACCTTCACCGAGTCCTGCTCCTCGTCTGACTGCTCATACAGGTCCTCTCCCAGGAAATTCCAGGGGGACTTGGTGCTCTGGGCAGCATAGAGCTGCCAGCGCCACAGGGAGAGCGGGCAGAAGGAGAGGCGGAAGGGCAGGCGCTGCAGGGTCTCGTTAATGGGGAAATAGTCCTTCTGCAGGTTCCAGTAGTCGTTGAAGTAGAGGATGGGGTAGTAGTCACCGCTGACGGCGTCAAACTTCACGTCTGCAGCCGAGGGACGAGAGCGGAGACAGACCTGAGCAGGCCATGGGGACCACAAGAGCCGTTTTACTGCTGCCTCTCCACCAGCACAGCACTTGGGAGAGACCTACAGGCTGCCAGTACAAGTGCCCCAAGAGCAGAAGCTATGCAGGACAGGGCTCCTCTGGGAACGAAGCCACCTCTGGGGACACAGGCGAGCCACAGCACCTGGCTCAAACCTGCTGCTCTTGAAGGGCTTCAAACAGGCTCAGGTACCTGCAGCAAGGAAGTTTGGACAGTCCCTGCTCCATTTAGCATGCTGGTAACAGGAGCCCTGAACACCCAGATGGCACCAGCCCGGTATTACCGGGGTTGATATTTGTTTCACTGGACATTAGGCAGCAGAGTCACCCAGCATCGAGTGCTGGCAGAGGACGGACTCCCAAAGCCCCTTAAAAGCGTGAACTGCGACAGAGAAACAACTCCCTTTTCCCACAGGAGCCCAAACACGTTCTCCGAGGAGGAACGAGCTGCCAGCGCAGCAGGAGACGGCAGGGCCAGCCTCAGAAAGCTCGTGCCCGTGGGAGCAAGGGGGCTGCTGTGCGTCCCGGTCCTTACACTGATCCAGGGGCGGCGGCACGCTGCCCTTCACCCAGGGCGTGTGGTCGTCCACCATGTTGATGGTCAAGTTGGGGTGCCAGTGCGAGATGACCTCCACGGGACCATAGTCTTCCGCCCTCTGCAACGAGAACAAAGTCACGGCATGCGCTGGGGGCCAGGGCCCTTTGCATCCCCACGTGACGGGAACGGCCAGCCCCAGGGACCCGGGCCAAGGCAGGGGTTTAAAGCTAAAATAAACCAAGGAAAACAAAACAGCCACA